GAGATCAGGTTCTTCCTTCTCCTGCTTTCTACTAGAGAGTGGAAAAACCTAGTGTTTCTGTCCCCCTCTTGCACCCATTTACACCGAGATTTTTGCCTCCAGCTAATTTCCTCCTTGTGCAGGCAATCCTCTAACTGTCTTCTTAAATCTCTCCTGAGCTTAATGTCTTCCTCTCCAAGTTCTCCCCTTTCTTTTTTCTATCCTCCCAAACTCCACCAAATTCCACTCCTTGATTTTTGCTTTCAAAAATTGAAGTTTCTTATGGAATTTCATCCTTTCCCATTCCACCAATGGATTACACTCAAATCACCACTCCCTCACTTTGTTGTTAAACCCTGGGTGGAGTAACCACATATTTTCAAATCTAAAGGGGGTAGGACCTCCAYGCCTTCTTTCMTCCTTACATAACACTATGGGCCAATGATCGGAGGTCACCCTTGGAAGAGCTCTCGAAGCCAAGGTTCCCCAATGGACTTCCCAATCTAGAGAGAATAGGAATCTATTCAATTTAGAGCAAATGGGTCTAGATTGGAGATTTGACCAAGTAAATGTCTTATGAGCTAGGGGGATCTCTTTAAGCTCAAAGTCATCCACAAAGCTGTTAAACTTCCTCATGTTTTTGTCACTCTCTGGTTAACTTTATTGGATTCCTCCGAGAATCTAATCACATTGAAGTCCCCACCCATGCACCAGGGCCCATCCCACAACCCTCTAACATCCGCCAATTCCTCCCACAACTCCTCTTTCTGTAGTCATTCGGTCCGTAAACATTTGTGAGAACCCACGTAAAATCACCCTCAAGCTGCTTAAACTTCACGGAAATCGAGAACTTTCCGATCAACTCCTCTAGGCCTTCAACCACATCCCTCTTCCACATTGTTACAATCCCCCCGGATGCACCCCAAGAGGGRGCAGCCACCCAACTRAYCCCCCTGGCTTTCCAAACACTCCGTGCCCAATTGTTATTAAACTCCATTCTCTTAGACTCTTGCAACAACACAATGTCTGGGTCAAACCGTTTTATTACCTCTTTTATTGT